AAGGGGGAAAATAAATTAGGCTAGATTAAAGCTTTGGCTATTTCCTGCTTTATACACAGACGCGGCTCTCGCGGCCTCCCCTCCGGGGCCCCGATAAATACAGTATACAGCGATTTAAATTAAGGGCGCGGGCGGAGTTAGAAGGACCCCCGGAACCGAGAGGCTCCGCGAATAAATAAAAACCGTAAAAAACCAAGCCCGGATGAAGGGGAAAGGGGTGGGGCGCATCCTCAGGGGAGAGAAGAGGTGTGGAGCGCAGAAAGTGACAGCCCCCTGCCCTTTACCGGCAGGCTGGAGAGTCCGCGCCGGGGAGAGGGGATGGGGAACTCGCCTCACTTCATCCTCTCCCGAGGAATCCCTAACCCCGCACCGCGTTACCTGTCGCTGTGGGGAGGCCGCTGCCGGGATCCGGCCCCGAACAGCCCGGGGGGCAGGGGCGGGAATCGTCGAGGGGATGGGGACAGGGAGCAGGCGCCGGGCAGGATGCCCGAGGTGACTTGGCGCGTTCCGGATCTTCGCTTCTCTCTCCCAAGTCTCAGGCGACACTGCTTACCAGCAGGCTTCGCCGCTCGCCAAGAGAGGGTCGTCCGGGTGTTTGGTTTTGTTTGAAAGTTTCTGGGCATTTTTGTAAAATCCAAAGCAACCGAACAAAAAGAGTCCAGGCCGCACGGGAGGACTGCGCGCCCGCGCCTCGCGCCGGCGGGGGCCCGGCCCGCGGGGTCACTGCACCGAGCCGGGCAGTGTGTGATGGTGGTGGTGGTGCAGCGCGGCCGGTGGGGGCGGCGGGGGCGCGGAGGGCGGCGATGCGCCGCCCCCACCCGGTCCCAGCTCGCCGGGAGCGTAAACGTCGTCCATGGGCGGGTGGCCGGCACCGGCTGCCGGGGTCATGCGCTTTTCCTTCTGCCGCCGGTTGCAGAACCAGACGCGCACCACCTCTTTCTCCAGTTGCAGGCTGTCCGCCAGGCCTGTGATCTCGTGCGCTGAGGGCTTGGGGCACTTGAGAAAGTGGCTCTCAAGCGCGCCTTTGACCCCCACCTCGATGGACGTGCGCTTCTTGCGCTTCCGGCCCTGGGCCGCGATCTTGTCCAGGTTGGTGGGGCTGCCGCTGGACGAGTCGGTCTCCTCTAGCCACTTGTTGAGCAGAGGTTTGAGCTTGCACATGTTCTTGAAGCTCAGCTGCAGGGCCTCGAAGCGGCAGATAGTGGTCTGCGAGAACACGTTACCATACAGCGTGCCCAGCGCCAACCCCACGTCGGCCTGCGTGAAGCCCAGCTTGATGCGCCGCTGTTTGAATTGCTTGGCGAACTGCTCCAGGTCGTCTGAGCTGGGTGCGTCCTCGTCCGAGTGCTCGCCCACCGACGAACCGCCGCCTCCCGCACCCGGGTGCAGGTGCACCGCCGCCGCATGCAGGCCGCCGGCGTGTGCGTGTCCATGTGCGTGTCCGTGTGTGCCCAGGTGCGGCGGTGGCGACGGCTCCAGCTGCGCCTCGTGGCCGTCCTCGTGCAGCGCGTGGTGCAGGCCCGGTCCCGCTCCGCCGCCGCCCGCCGCCAGCATCCCTGCCAGGCCACCGCCGCCGCCCCCGGGATAGGCCGCCTGCGCGTACAGCCCGAGTGGCTGGGGCTGGTGGCCCCCGCCGGCCCCTGGCGACGGCGACATGGCTGGGCCTAAGTGGTGCGCTGTGCCTCCCTGAGCCCACGCCGCACCCGCGTGGGCTGCCCCCTGGTGCACCAGGCGCGCGTGGAAACCACCACCACCGCCGCCGCCGTCGTCTCTGCCACTGCCGCCGCCGCCCGCCTTGCCGTGCTCCAGGTGCGGACCGCCAGCCCAGTCGCCGCCTCCGCCTCCTCCTGTGGGTAGCCACTGGGGGTGCGCCAGGCCCACGGGGTGGCCCGCGCCCGCGCCCAGCCACTCGTGGTGCATCAGCTTCTGCACTTCGCGGTACGCGGCCCCCGCGTGAAGTCGTTCGG